CGACGGATCACGAAGACCATGGACGACCGTTTACGATTAATATTTATAATTATTATTATGCGCGACTGCAGTAATGCATTAACCGCGGTGAGGAGTGACTGTTTTTTTTTCGTAAAATGTGACTCTATTTTTTAAATAAAATTAATCATTATATAAATACAAACAATTATTCAATTATAATATTATATACGAAAAAATAATAGTTACAAATACAAAATACAAATATAACAAACATTATTTATGAACAAAAATATAATATTATATACGAAAAAATGATAATATCATATACGAAAAAATTATAATTACAAATACAAAATACAAATATAACATTATTTACAAGTTTACAGTTTACATTTATTCATCAGTTTCTGGTAGAGGTACAACGTCGTTAAAATCGTCCGAGTCATCATCATCACTTTCAACATTTAAAACACATGGTTCTTTTTCAGCCATCAATTCATCCACCACAAAGTCCATCTTAAACAATTTTTCCTCCTCTTCTATTGTATGTTTAATGAAGTTTTTCCACATGTCGGCATCAACTCTTTCTACACCTTCTATTAATAATTGTTTTACGTCGTTGAGCTTAAATGTTTTGTTGTTCATCCTCACATGGTTTTTTACAATTGACCATGCGAGCTCAATAGGATTGAGCTCGCAGTGGTAAGGTGGCAATCGAAGAATTGTTTTGTTTTGTTTTTTGACTAGTTCATCAATAACATATTTATTGTACAAGGGTCTCAGCCTGTCCACAATGGTAAGTAGCTCTGGAATAACCATTGGTCTACTAATAACCTCTCCTTTACTCTCGAGCCATTCGATAATTTTTTGTTTTTTGGTATTTGTCGTTGGGCATTTGTCTTGTTTCACTGAATGGTACGGAGCGTTATCCATGACAATCACTGCGTTATCTTTGAGTCTAGGTAAAACACCTTCCAACCATTCACGGAAACAATCGCCATTCATTTCATCGTGATAGTCTTGAGTGTTTTTCCTAGACTCAAAGCACAGAAGACTGTCAGAAACAAATCCATCTTCCGATCCTATATGGCAAACTATCAGGCGTTTCCCCTTTCCACTAGGATTTACTGCTCCCGTTGTAAGACCTTTATTTGTCGCATCTCTCGCAGATTTAATAGATTTATCGCACCATATTTTATTCGGTACGTCACCAGCATTTACCCAAGTTTCGTCCAAATAGTATATTGGGCGACCCTCCATACGATATTGCCGAATATCCAATAAATAATTTCTTCGCCAAACAACAATTTCTTTTCGCTCAATCATTGCGCTATTTCGACCACGTTTAACAAATTCGAATTCCATAAAATGTAATAATCTATGGAGTGAGGAGCGTGAAAAATTGGGCAAATCGGCATCTTCATTTATGACACACAAAATCTTATCAAGTGTCGGCAACTCACGTCTAAACCAAAATTGATGTATTTTTCGCCTAATTGCATATTTATTAAAATCGTCAATTTTATCTTTTATACTTTTAAATATTTTAGTTTTATTTGGAGATGTGATGGTTTTCGTACGTTTGTATTCTAAAATTGTTTGATAAATTGTAGACATTCCAATTCAGAGTTCAGATGAAATAATTTTTTTAAGATGGAGCATTTTAATTTCTGGATTTTGGGCAATTTTGGTTTTGTAACTGTTTATAATCATTTTCCTTTGGGAAGATGACACAAACTAAAATAATAAAAAACATTGTAAAATCAGTTTCATAATTTCATTACTAAGCGATTAGGTTTGTTTATGATATCGTTGAAAATGTATTAAAAAGTTTTATTTTTTAGAAATTTAGAAAGTATGTATAATTAAAAGTCTTTTTTATATCTATGAACATAATATTATGTTATCAGTTTTTTTAGTCCATTGTTGTAGATAATTTTTTTTTCAAACGTAATAGATATAATATATCTAATTTACATTAAATCGTTTAAATATACAATTTGTTAATTTTATTTCAATATTCGTAAAAAAAAATTCAGGGATTAAGTTCTTAAAAAAAAGGCGAGAAAGTGGATGTACAGTACGTTACAATAATTAGGTCACTGTTTTATGGACAGTATTACATTTGAATTCAATGATATAATATCATTGTATACGAAAAACGATTCTGAACTGAAACATGTGTGGATATTTTATAATATTATAATAATACTGTTATTATACTTAATATTAATACGGTAGCTGGCAAGTTGAATTAATATTATAAAATAACAACAAAATAACTAAAATCGTATTTCTTGGTTATTTAATATGTAATTTCGTCCGTATTTGATCATAAAATGACTATTTATCAATTTTTAATCACAAAATAATTTTTAAATTTTAAATTTTGTCAGAAATCAAACTTAAAATGCTTATTAAAAAAAAATATTCCAATGTATTTATATAATTTTTCAACTACCATTGTTACAATATATCAGGAGCCTTGTATTGAACTTTCAAGATTTTTTACGAACTAAATAATATGTTATTGATATTTATAGAAAAAAAATTAAATTAATTTTAATTTTAAATTTTCTGTTAACAGCTCACAAATAGTCAAAATATTTTTAAAATTGTATCGTGTATATAAAATGAGAATTTAAACATTCAGTGAAATGTTCATGTATTTCCAGTAATTCGTTTTTGAATTGCAACAAAATAAGAAAATCGCTACTTGACAAATAGAGTGAATACCCGATGTTTTAAAAATATGAACTTCAAACACTCATAAAAATTTAATTTGATTTTCTTGTAGAAATATTATTTTTGATGAATATCTAATTTTTAAATGTATAAAATAATTTGGTAACGATAATAATTCAAAAAATTAATAAAAGAAAAATGAAAATTTCTCATGCCTTAAGAGGAGTACAAAATGATCAAAAAAATGTTATTATATAAAGTAATTGCTAAAATATGTAAGCTTTAAAATTTGCAAGTATTTTCAGTTTTTCATTTTTGAGTTGTGACAAATTAAAACAAAATCGTCAGTACCTACTAGTGTATTGCGTAAAAATTCACCTTTTTTCTTTATTTATTTTTTTTCTTTTATTAAACTCAATTATATATAATAATAAAATTAAGTATATTTACCTTTCCTTTAGGATTGCGTAGTACTTTAGGAGATGTAACGTTATCCATGTTTAAAAAATATGAAAAAAAATTGTAAACACAAAAAAATAATGAGCGCGATAACAACAACAATTACAAGAGTAGTGCTACTTCTAGGGTAGACAGAGCAAAAGTCAGCGATTTCCATGTGCATTGTACGTATCACGGTAAAAAAAAAAAAAAATCATGGAGTCAAAAATGAAGGAGGGGATGGGGATGTTTTTTCCTTTGATTTTTAACGTTTTTTTTAAATTACGTGTGGCGCACGACGCACGCACGCGCATAAGAACGCCACGTCGCTCGACGCACACAGTTCCAGTACAAACCGATCGCAGCGCTCGATGAGGAACGACGGACCGCCCCAATATTACGGTAGTTGGTGGGAGATGCGCGGAAATGGACAAAAACTGGTCGGCCGACTGATTATTCTCTTTTGGGATAGAGTATACTCATCGGGAATTAGTACACCTCGGCATAGAAAAGACACTATCTAAGTTAAAAGAACATTTTTATTTTCCCAAAATGCGAGAATTCGTAACGAAGTACATAAATAGATGTGTGAACTGTATGTTTTACAAAATACCAAAAAGAGGAGAATTGTACTGGCATCCTTTAGATAAAGGCAGTGAACCGTTTCAAACAATACATCTCGACCATGTGGGACCTTTCGTTATGACTGAGAGAGATAATAAATATATCCTTACGATCGTAGACGGGTTTAGTAAATATGTCGTACTACGCGCCGTAAAAGACGTTACGGCTATCGAAACCGTATATTATATGCGCGAGTTTATATGCACATATGGCAGACCCGAACGAATAATTACAGATAGGGGTACCGCGTTTACGGCGGCGATATTCGAAAAGTTCTGTCATGAGTTAAATATAAATCACGTTAAGATATCGTCTAAGAGTCCGCGTAGCAATGGCCAAGCCGAAATAATTAACGGGATAGCTGTGAGGTGTTTAGCAATGATTACCGAAAATCCCGATAATACTGATTGGGACTTAAGGTCGATGGAAGTGCAGTGGGGAATTAACAATAGTAAACACAGAGTGACAGGTTACACGCCGTCCGACGTGATATACCGGTTTAAAATTGCTAGTCGTATCGAAAACCCGTTAGTGAGTGAAGTGTCCAAAATAAACAAAGATAAACGTATAACAGAAAAAGAAATTGACCCGACTGAGATTCTACGGAAAAATCGAGAAAAGGAATTACGTAAAATAACACAACGAAAGACAAGACCCGAAAAGTTTCATAAGGGAGATTTGGTATTAATTAAGTGGGAGGCGCCGGCCTCAGGACAGAGCAGAAAGTTAGAGCCTAAATATAAAGGACCGTATCAAATAGCTCGGGAACTGAGATACGACCGATACGTCGTAACTGATGTAGAAGGGGAACAGTTAGGACAAAGACCATTTAGTGGGGTAATACGATTTGACCGTCTAAAGCGAGTATGTAAATAAAAAAAAAAAATGTAATTTAATGTTTATTTGTATTTTCAAAAAAAAATGTAATTTAATGTTTATTTGTACTTTCAAAAAGATAAAAATGTAATTTAATGTTTATTTGTATTTTCAAAAAAAAAATGTAATTTAATGTTTATTTGTATTTTCAAAAAAAAAATGTAATTTAATGTTTATTTGTACTTTCAAAAAGATAAAAATGTAATTTAATGTTTATTTGTATTTTCAAAAAAGAATGTTATTATGAATTATTATAAAAAAAAAAAAAAAACTGTATTATTATGCATACATTTGACGGGACGCCAAAATTTGTCAGGAAGGCCGACTGTGGTAATCTGATTATTATTGTTTATCAATTATAGCGATAAGTGTGGGCCGGTCGATCGATGGGAACGTCGATCATGTTGGCGACTATATTTTAGTATAGTCGCGACCGCCGACCGTGCCGTATGACAATCAGCATTTATTCTAGTTGTACGAGTGTGTTAATTAATGATTAAATTATATTGCTATATTAGTGTTGATTCCGTGACCCGTAAATAAAAGGTGTTGATGTTATATTACAAACAGTTCTTTTATTCATTTTCCCACCTTTTATTTCGTACGCTCAGGTACAATAGTGGCATAGTACGTATTTCAACGTTGTACCACATATGTATATTTAAAACAAATATTTTATCAATATGTTAGCAATACAAATTTGCTATCTGGGTATAAGGACAAGTCGTCTATTTTTATGGTTCGCTGGAAATCTTTCAGTAAATTCATCTAAATCTAATAATTTTGAAATATGTTTCTCAATTGACAATAGTGCCAAATTATTCAACCTATAACAAATTAAATTAATTACTTTGGTATCACATGGATAGGCTGTTAATTTTAATTTTGTTAGGTTTGTCTGTAATTGTGTTTATCAAATGTGCGTTCGAGACCCGTATTTAGAATTCCTAGTTTTCGATCTATTTATAGACGTATTATTGTCTTATCTCATTATCTCAAATTGTCGAGTGACGAATACTGCTTATAAAATAAAATCTCGGAATTCAATTTTTGTTATACGATTGTTAACTGTATGGAGTACCATATAATATACTCGTACATTCAGGATTTAGCCAGTTTAATATATAATATTTAAAAATAAAAATCAAGGGGGCCAGTTCGGGGCCACTGACTTTTCTTAGGGGGCCAGGCCCCCTAAGGCCCCCCTCTTGACGACGTGCCTGCCTTGGGCAAAGGGTTCATAATATGATGGTTTAATAGTGTACTAATATATACTACCTATACCTAGTAACAATTTTGTAAGGTTAAACCAAAATTATGTAATATATATTGTTCATAGTTTCGAATCTAGGAAAAAAAGCCCCAGCTGACAACATTCAATGGAAAAAAAAAACCCCGTACCAACTGAATACATTATTCTTTTTATTATGATTTACATAATTAAATATAATCATAATATAATCATTACATTTATCAACACTTCTTTAACATAATATCTAGATATATAATATAGCAATAACCATAAAATATATAATATTCTAAAATACTAGTTTAATATTTTGTAAATTAATAAACTGTTAAAGTGTTAAAACATTAATGTTAACAATTGTTTTTCATTAACTATTAAATTAATTATTATATTATTAGGTATATGAATCTAAATTAATATTTATTATACCAGACTACAATACATTTCAATGTTA